ATAGATAAAGAAGTATGAAGAGAACAAAGCATTTCTACAATACTCTAAAAATCAGAAGAAATAATGTTGATTAGGCAATCAATAAAAGATATGAGATTGGCCTAAGCAGAAGTTAGTCTGAGAACAAGTAAGATAATACAGAAGATCTACAAGACTAGTTTCTGTACTATCTTGAAGAGCTTTGATTTCACTTATTAAACAAGTTATAAAATAATCAAGCAAGACTTGAATATTTGCAACTTTATTTTCTACCTGAGAGAGAACAGTATGAACTGGGCTTGACAAATAAGAGAACTCAGATAGACTGTCTTTGATAGATTCTGTCTCAGACATGAGGTCCATGGTCTTAGCTATATAATGTGAGGCAGAACAATAATGTTTCATGAAAGATTCTTTGACAGTAGAAGTAGTCTGGCAGTGATGATATTTAGTGGCTTCTGAGTCAAGCTTACAAAATTCACACATGAGTATACTCATGCACTTGACATTGTACAGATGATGTGGATCAGCTGCATCAAAACTATAATATTCTTCTTAAAGTTGCAAGAGCTAATGAACTAGTTTAATGGTGGATTCTGGAATCTACAGCCATGTCAGAACAACAAGAAGAATAGATAAAGATGCACTTACATCACAACAGATACAGATTTGATATTCTAAATAATAAGAACAAGATTTCTTCTCAGTATTCTATAGATAAGACTCATCTTTATTCAGGCAGTCCATGAACATCAAGTAAATACAGACAGAGTACAGAAGAGTATCTTCTTTATTATACACAACAGAGTCTTTCAACAACAATATCATGACAAGTTATAAAACAAATAAGAAACAACACCTGAGCCCAAACAAAGCAGAAGAAAAGAAGAAAGAAGAGAGTCAGGAACTTTCTATTTATACTCATCATAATATATCAAGATTGCTAGTCTCACAACTTGTTGATAAACAACATAACAACAGACAACAGACAATATAGCAACCAGACAAGCAAATAAACAAAGAAACAAGTACATGACAAAATGCTGGACTTTCATAATAAAACAATTGCTGTTCTATAACAAAGAATGTCTACTGCAATCAGCAGCAATACACATGCAGGATATCTATATAGACAAGCAGTGAGTAATGCAGAAGCTTACACATTCAAGAACCTACAATACTCCACCAATGATAGAGGAGCTACAACAATATATGAAAAATCACTTTGGTGGCCCTATGCCTTGGAGTCTGAGGCCTCTGGGAGGGGGGATAGTGTTACAAACATAGACCTAGACCAATCAAGCATTGGATGATGTTGGATGTTCAGGGGTATTCACATGACCCCAACACTGAACATATAAGAATCACACAATTTGTATGAATTGTGGGGACCCTAGCATTCAGTCTCTGAGTAAGGGAACCCCTACATTTTACACATGACTCTCTTCCATCAGTTGTGGGCATTGTACCTACTTAGCTCTTTTGTACCCCTAATTCTGGGAAAACCTACATGACCTACAACCGGTTCACCTAACATACTTATATAAAAAGATAAAGAAAAGAACAAGCAATGATAGAGTGGTATGAAAATCTTTTTAATAAAGAAAGCTCTACAAATTACTACTCTTAATTTAAAATAAAGCCCAGATAGAAAGCATCAGCTCTTTCTATATTCAAGAAGATATGGTCAACTATTTGCCAATTAAAGCTTGGTTATAGATATTTCAGATCTTATCTAGTAAGATTATCTGACTACTCTTTCAACTTATGCTCTTTCTGCAATTATATTGAAAATCAAAAGCATCTATTATTAGACTGCTCAGCTTATCAAACTGAAAAAAGAAAAATTTAACAAGAGCTTGATATTTCTCAACTATCTTTAAATTTTATTTTTGAAACTGAATTAAGTCTAAGATGGCTAGTTTTACTTCTGAAATATACTGAAATAGCCACTAAACAGTAGCTTTCTTAAATATATTAAGCTTATTTTTGTTTGATTTGTATTATATTGCTACAAGAATTTTTGTTTTTCTTTGAAATTAATATTATATACTATCTGTTATTTGGCTTTTGTGGAGAGAGAACATCTTATATTGTCTTGAAATATCTTGAATTTTTCTTTTCTTCAGTTTCTACAATATATACTAGATAAATTCTAACAGAGAAGCTGTTAGATAGTTTTCATAGTCACTGACTGCATAAGACTATAATAAATAATAATAATATTATTATTATTATTAATAAAATAAAACTCAGATAAAAAGCATCTACTTGTTCTATATCTAAGACAATATAATCTACTATTTGCTAATTAAAACTTGATTATAAATATTTCAGATCTTATTTAATAAGATTATCTGACTACTTTTTCAACTTATGCCATTTCTACAATTATGTTGAAAATTTAAAGCATCTACTATTAGACTGCTCAGCTTATCATACTAAAAGAAGAAAAATTTAACAAGAACTTGATATTTCTCAACTATGTTTAAATTTTATTTTTGAAACTCAATTAGATCTAAAATAGCTAGTTTTATTTCTTAAATGTACTGAAATAGCCACTAAACAGTAGCTTTCTTAAATATACTAAGCTTACTTTTGTTTAATTTGTATCATATTGCTACAAGAATTTTTGTTTTTCTTTGAAATTAATATTATGTACTATCTGTTATTTGGCTTTTGTGGAGAGAGAACATCTCATATTGCCTTGAACTATCTTGAATTTTTCCTTTCTTCAGTTTCTACAGTATATACTAGATAAATTCTAACAGAGAAGCTGTTAGATAGTTTTCATAGTCACTGACTGCATAAGACTATAATGAATAATAATAATAATATTATTATTAATCTTTATATTTTTAGAAGTACTTTTAACTAAATTAGTAAACTTTGTATGCAAGATATTCTTTGCATGAGCTGCTGACATACTTGATTAAAGTTGGGTAGTCAGTGCTACTATATCATTAGTATTATCTAATATTTCCAGCTGTTTATTTAGTTTGGCTTGCATGAGCTTATTCAAAATTTCTATATACAAATTCTTCTTTATTTTTTTAAAGCTTTTAAATTCTTCATCAATTTCTGTTATGAGTTCTAGAAATTATTGATGATAGACTTGATCAGTTTTATCTAAATCTTGTAAAAACTAAAGATTATTTGTTAAAAGTTTTGTGTGTAGTGTGCTGAATCTTCTAGCTTTATATAGAAAAATTTCTTAAGATTATTTCAGTTATTCTTTAATAAGTTTTTTTTATGATAAATCTTTTAAAGATTTTTTTTAATATAGTCAAGTTTTATAAAAGTGTATACAAGAGCTTTCTTATTATTCAGTTTGCTTGCATTATAAATAAATTTAATATTGGAGGTGAACTGCTAATATTTTATATAGATGCCAGTCTGGTAGAGCTTTGTATGTTGTAGTAGTCTTAAGACTGACCAATGCTTTACAGATATTGAATTAAAGATAGCTAGATCAAGAGATTTACTTTATAAGTGCTTTTGAATAATCTGAAAAGTATTTAATATTTCTTGCTATTTTGTTATTTTCTTTAGTAGTTTGATTTTCTTGTGAAGTTGTTGGATTTTATTTTTTAAAGTAAACTCTCTTTCTGAGATCATAATACTAGTTTTAGTTTCATCAACAGTTGAGAGAGGTAATGTGGTTTCAAGATTTGTAATCTTCTTACAAACTTGAATTTGTTCTTCAGATAGATTTTCTGCTAGTGTCTCAGATTTATAAGCTTCAGAGAGTTAACTTCTTTGTATAGATACTATTATTAAGCATTATTAAAGAAGAGTAGCAAAATATGAGAATTGTATATGTGAATCAATATGACAATAAATCTCTAGAAGAAATATATATAGAAAAGAGTATGTAAGATAAAAGTTCTGGTATTCTGGTAACTATATATAACTTATAGACAAGATTGCCAGTGGCTTCCAGCAAGAGATTTACACAGTAGCAGTCTTTTATATGTACTTGTGAGCATGTAACTTAGCATCTTATAAGAATACATGCAACTTCCAACAGCTTATAAGCTAAGACTCTCCACTCTTATAGGTGTTGTTTGTCTGTATAAGGGGTTCGCGGGCAAATTCTTACACAAGATCTGGATCTGCACAATATCAAGATAGATTATCAGAGCAAAAAGCTAAATGCAAAAAATATCAAGTTTACAGTTATTGAGATGGTCAGCTTATATAGCTATCATCTGAATATATCTCTAAGGATGTACAATATCTTTCATATGCAGCTTCTCCACCCAGCCACCACAGATCCTTTTCCCAGCTAGTAGTAGTCAAATTGGCAATCATCAGAGATAATAACTGAGAACAGAAAAAAGTATAAGATGGAGAAAATTCTTAAAGAGCAGAGAAATCATCAACATCTTGAATACCTTGTTAAATAAAGAGAATATACATATTCAATATAGAATAATACCATACTCATAAAGAAGACTAGTAGCTCTTGATAAATAAAAGTACTATAAGTATCAAGACAAGACTTTTAGTGTTCACAAACACCAGCAACAGTGCAATGCCTGAGAAACAGAAGAGAGATATTGTAGAGGATTAAACTCTCTATTCTTCTCAGACTGAGCTCTTGATACTATGCTGTGCTAAGAATCTCAGACTGAGCTTCTCAATGACATGCTGCACAAGAGACTTCTATGCTATTCCCTCTTTGGCTTAGTTTCCACTTCCTCTTTTGGCCTAGCACCACACACAAATGTTGTGAATATATCATACACACACTTACCTACCCTCCTTCTTTTTCCTTCTCCCAAGCAATACATTTGTATATATACTGTAGAGCCTAGCTAGTAGCTTCAGCTCAGCCTGTGACAGTTTTATATCATGTGCAAAAGTGTCCGAGTTCACTGTGAAAGATGTGACACAATTTTCTATTAGAGATCTCTTCTCACACTGTATGATTCTCACATAGAATTGTTTTGTGCTTAATCACTTCCATCATCTTCTAGTATATTTTCTGAATCAAAGCTTTCATTGATACCAAATCATCAATGCTCATAACTGGATTCAGTTGCACAATTGTTAAATTTTGCAGTGCCAAAGTTGCTTGCATTTGCAAGCAGAAACTTACAACATGTCAGCATGTATTTGCATGCACGTGTCCATGACTCATCAGTTTGGTTGAACCCAAGCCTAATGCTAGTATCACCAATCCTATCCTTTTGTATCTCGTAAGGTAGTTTCATGCCAAAAGTTGATGGCTGTGAATGGCTCTGAGATCTGTAGTAAGAACCCACATTTCTGTGTTCCCTCGGGGCACTTGCAGTTGAGGACGCAGCTGGAACTCCATTCGAAAGTGGTACCTTTTCAAGGTAGACGCCAAGTTGTCGAAGACACTCGAGGAACGCTACCATCCCAGCATCGAAGCGTCGGTGAAGCCAGGGTAGGTTAAGTGGAAGATCCCCGGAGGAAAAGAGATCAAGGGAAGTGATAATGGGTGACAGGTTGTCGTCGCGACCTGTCCTAAAATTTGGTTCTCGTTGACTTTGCTCTACCTTTTCAATCCTTGAAACTGAACCCATCGGCCGCAGTCTATATCCCTCAAATTGAAAGCCAAATTTATTAGCAATTGTCGAAAGAAGCAAAACAGTCTGACCCCAAGCAGCATTGACTTCAGCCCATTCAACTGGAGGATTTCCAAGACGTCCCAACCGTAGTCCATTTATGGTGCCGAAGTACCCGTCATGGCCAATACAAAAAGTATCGTTGTAGACATTTGTGCGTTGTAAACGTTCAAGCTGTCGAGAATCATGATCGAATTTAACATTCAGGGTATCACGATCATTCAAGAAACCCCCAAGAGTTAGCCCAAATGTGGTTTGGTCAGTCCAAAACTGTTCCTCGTCCCGATCGAGTTGCTCGCATTGCTCAACTAAGATCGCGATTTCCCTGTCACTTGCGAACTTCTCATTTTCAAGCATTTGTAGCTCATGAAACGCATCGCCTTCCGCTTCCAGTATGGTTTGTAGAGATTGTCGAGCCGCGTTTACTTCCTCCTGGGAAGGGATGGATGCATTCACATTTCTCAAGAACGAGACATAGGAATCTCGTTCCCTTGTTGCACCTATTAAGCGGCTTTGAACACCAGCGGCAAGAAGCTCGGCACAATCAACACAAACTGGTTGATCTATATCCGTACGTGCAGATACAGTTTCAAAGAAATATGTAGCCCTCTCAAAGTGAGAAAATGATTTGTCACCACCGTCTTGTCCAACTTTGGGTCTTGGATGTTGCGGGCCGTCATCAGTGATACCAGATGCCCCCGCGGTTCCGCTTAGCTGGGACTCTGTGAGCACGACAAACGACATATTTGGTCCATCTTTGAGTCCTGCTCGAGGTCTTGGGCCAGTATTATGCTCGTGCACTAATTGAGGGGTTTCTCGTTTATTAACAGGTACATAGGCCGGCTGAAATGAGTCTCGCCATTGATGAAGCCTCCCGTAGAAGGAACCGGGATCGTGACTGGAGAATCCGAGGCAACAAGCTCCAGGTGAAGCTATGATAAAGATAAGCTAGCATCCGAATCGACCCAACATGGGAACATTACCTATGAGACCAAGAGGAGCCGGGTTCAATGCATCAAGTGAATCGTCATCAACCATTAAAAGTGTGTGGCACTTTTGGCAATACATCTTTAAAATCATCAGTGGTGCTCTGGAACTAGACTTTGGCATATTTTGTCTAGAGTTGTACATGATTAGCTAGTTATGACCAGCGTACCGTCATCCTCTGAAGATGAGTTTGAGTGTCTGTTCCCAAACTATTGTGGCCTGTACCATATTTATCAAGCTGACCAACCCAACAAGCAATTATTTAGGTGGCCAAGTACGGAGTACAGAGTACAACTACAAAAACTTTTTCGCACTCAATGTATGTCACCCATCACATCCATTGGGTAGTTATATTGTGTGGCTTAGTTCCCTCATTAGATTGAATGTTACAAAGAATGCTCTATGCAATTTTTTTTTTTTTTTGGAACAGTTTCAGCTCCCTAGCTCTTCCTCCTCTAGTTTTGACACATGTGGCTGGATCTGGATTCCGCATTCCATCCTCAGGTTCTGTAGATGTGTTCATAGGTGTTTCCAGCATGTTTTAGCAAGCTTTGAATATCTTTTTTCTGTTCTAGGATTTTGATTTCCTCATGGTTCAAAATTTCGAGTTTCTGTATTAGGTCACTCTTACAATTCTCCGTAAGGGCTAAGCTGTTGTAAAAATCCTCGATAGCAGAGCTTAGACTGGGAATTGGAGTAACCTTTGCGGGGGTATCCAGCCGCGAATGGGATTCTCTGCCCTTTGTGAGGCCTTCCATACCTGCACGAAGCTGCATTATCTCATATATAGCTCCACGAGCGCACTCAGATCCATTTCCTTCCGATGCAGTCTCTGCTTCATCAATCAGCCTCTGAATCTTCGTGCGACGCCTCCGTACTTTATCACCTTGCATGTTCATGCTAAGTGGCAACGCAGAGGTGTCATCAGAATCTTCAAAGTCTGCTGTAAAATTCACAGCATCAGGGACTAGCCGCCTATCGGAACGGGACGTCCGTGGTCGAGGAATTAAGGTATTTTCCGCTTTTGATTCTAGTGAAATGTAATCCTGGTCCATAGCCGAGTGCATCCGCCCTTCCATTCCTTCTCGGACGTTAGCATCGGGTGAATGTATAAATAGCGCAGAGTTTTCGCCCGTTTGGCCACATTCGCCACCGGATCTCACTGTGATTTGCTCTTCTAGGGGGTGAGTATGGATGGGAACGTTTCTCAGCGGCGAAAGGGTAGAAATTTGAAGCTCTTTGAGATGTTCGAGATCATATACGGGACCAGCCCCCTGGCTTAATCGTCCTAGAGTGGGATTCTGGGGAGACAGTTTTCCTGTTAATGATTCTTGAAACACGCTTGCATTCGCTGCAGATGATCTCCCACTCGGTGTTTTTCGGCTACGTATCCCAGTACCACTCCGATCATCAGATATCATTCCGGTGGGATCCGGCTCGAACGATAACCGTAATTTTAAATTCCTTTTGAGATTTGTACTCGGTTTCTGTCCCGATACCTCAGGATCTGTCGGAAACATTAGCACCTAAGTCCGTAATGATGCCTTTTGCCTGAAGTATTGGGCGAAAAACGTACCTTGCTCTTGGGAGGCTCGTAATTCAGAGCCATCTTCACCACCGATTCGACGGCCCTTACGCTTCTTATAGGAATTCATTTTGGAGTAGACCCGCAAAAATCAAAAGCAAGCATTTTGATATCAAAGCCGCTGGTTGGTGCTTGGCAGCAGAGTATTCCAGTTGTCAGGACGCTAGTTAGTCTCTATGTACTCCGTAGAGTTTCGAAGTGACTTGACTAGGGAATTGAAGATATTTTGATTTTAGTAGCCGACTTAGTAACTAACTAGTTGTAACTTAGTTAACTAGGTTAATGTAATCCACAAGTGAGTGAAATCCACAAGCAAGCGAAAGATTAAATTAAGGCATCTCAACTAACTAGAATTTAACCCAAAATATCTACACTCAACAACCCCTAAATAGATTAAATTATATTGCAATAGAACTGCAGCAGCTTCTTCTTGTATGGCCTAAAATATGGCAGTTTATACATCTTGGTAGTGCTTACAAATATGATACAGACTCTGAGACTGCAGACTTAGAGAGTTGAGCAACTGTCTATTCAATAGATTAAGCAGGTGGAATGGCAAGCTCAGCAATCTCTTTTCTTGTTAGATCTTCTTCATATTGGATTCAGCACTTAGATCTCATATATTTTTACTTCTCTTTCTTATTTGCAGCAAATATATCCTGATATTACTTCTTTATAATAGTGATGTTGATTATTTTATACTTACAGGTCTTGATAATTTAATCAAATCCTTCTACTAAATCCTGGAGTAAGCTTTCAAGTCTCTGTTTTATAAGATTCTTGATCTTATCTGCCTGCCTATGTAATTGCCAGAGATTGTGAGATATTTGTAAAATTCAGAATAACATCAAGTTACTAGATTGGCTAGCTAAGAAAGTAAAGGTCCAGAGTTAAATATTCAGCTGCTGAAGAACCTAATCTAGATTAAATAAGACTATTCCAGTAGCTATAAAGCTACTTTAAATATTCTGAGTCTTGAAGATCTCTGTATATACTGTAAAATAAGTATCCAGAAAATTTGTCTTCTTAATAATATTAATTTCAAGCTATATTTGCTGTTTAACTAGATTATCATATGTCTGCTTTAAAACTGCAAAAATACTTACATCAAGAGACTGCAAGAGATAGAATAAATATACTGATATATACAGTGAAATAATCTTATTTTTCTTGCAAATATAACTAAATTCTAAAGTAAGATAACTACTGTATCTATTTAGAATAAGAAGTATATGAGTGCTAATTCTCTATAAATTTGCAGCAGAAATAAATAGTCTAGTTAGTTATTTAATTTCTATCTTATTTGTAGTTCAGTTATTAGAACTAATATTAAGTCTTCAGCCAGATAGAAGTCTGTCAAACTAGCCTTTCTGTAGATTTTGTCTCTTAAGAATGATATACAGAGACAAGACCCAGTCTGAGATATTAACTAATTTAATTACTGTAATCTATTCTTAATTTCCAGACTGTAGAAGCTTTGCTCAGTCATAGTACTCAGCACTAGTAATAATCTTAATAATTATGTAGAAACTCATTGCAAATCCAGTTTTATGAAAGTTATAGATATCTTCTATTAAAATTCCATGCTTAGTAATTATATTCTTTAGAGTTTTAAATTAATCTTGAATAATCATTTTATTTTTATATTTTGCTTACTCATAATTATAGTATCTGAAATAACAATATTTGAGCTCTGTATAGTATTTAATTAGATTTAATACCTAGTTCTAGCCAATACAGAGAAGAGAAGAGATAGAATCTCATATGGCAAGAAGGTAATTGGTTATATTCTCAACAAATACCAGTCAGGGGGGAATTTCTTATTTAGCTAGATCTAGAATTTATTAAACCAGCTGATTCTCTTCAGACTCAGTTAATTTAGTTAAATTTGTATATAGACTGATTTGTGCATGTCTTTCTTTCACTTGATGATATAAGATAGTATAAGATATATTAAATAGCTGTGCAGCTTTAGTAATTAAGCTAATTTCTTGCTTTTTAAAAGTAGAAATAGCAAGTTCAATCCTGCCCTCTATTTCTATAGAGGATCTTGTATTTTTATTGCAAATTAATGGCATTGTGATGTGTTGAAGTAGATGGTTGAGGAAGTTGAAAAAATATCTTTCACTCACTTGCAGATTTTGCTTGCTTGTAGATTACATTAGCTGGCTTGGTGGTGGATTACGTTAACATAATTCTCAAGTGAGCTGATCACCTAAGCAAACCAATTACCATTTCAAAATTCCACTTAATTAAAGAACTCTTCCACTTCAATGTGCAATTATGCCACCAATTCACAATAAAAATTCTTTGAATTCAATTGAGAGAAAGGGAAGAATTGAACTTGTGATAAAATCTATTAAAAATCAAGAAATTACCTCTATTTGTGAAGCTGCTAGGGTCTACAATATTCCCTACACTACACTTTATAATCAGCTAAAAGAACAAGTTTCATGAATGAATTTATGTGCAAATTCACACAAATTATCTCCTGCTGAAGAAGATAGACTATTATTATTATTATTATTATTATTATTATTATTATTATTATTATTTATTATAGTCTTATGCAGTCAGTGACTATAAAGACTACCTAGCAGCTTATCTGTTAGACTTTATTTAGTGTACATTGTAAAAGTTGAAAAATAGAAGAATTACAGTATTTCAAGGCAATATGAGATGTTCTTTCTCCACAAAAGTCAAATAACAGATAGTATATAAAATAAATTTCAAAGAAAAACAAAATTCTTATAGCAGTGTAACATAAATCAAAGAAATAAAGTTAACATATTTGAGAAAGCCACTATCTAGTAGCTATTCCAGTACATTTCAGAAATAAAACTAGCCATCTTAGACTTAATTCAGTTTCAAAAATAAAATTTAAAGATAGTTGAGAAATATCAAGCTCTTGTTAAATTTTTCTTCTTTCAGTTTGATAAGCTAAGCAGTCTAATAATAGATGCTTTAGATTTTCAATATAATTGCAGAAAGAGCATAAGTTGGAAGAGTAGTCAGATAATCTTACTAGATAAGATCTGAAATATTCATGACCAAGCTTTAATTGGCAAATAGTTGATTATATCTTCTTGAATATAGAAAGAGCTGATGCTTTTCATCTGAGCTTTATTTTAAATTAAGAGTAGTAATTTGTAAAGCTTTCTCTATTAAAAAGATCTTTATACTACTCTATTATTGCTTGTTTTTTATTTGTCTTTTTATATAAGTAAGAGATATATATCTCTCTAAATAAACTTGATTTAATTCTGTAGCTTTTTTTTGCTGCTAGATCAGCTTCTTCATTTCCATGTATATTTACATGTGCAGGAACCCAATGAAGATGTAGATTAATTTGTTGATTTTTAATATACTTAGCAGTTTTTCTTATAGATTGAAGATAATATAAGTCAGAATTAAGATCTTGATTTATAAGTTTCTGAATAGCAGCTTGACTATCAGAAAACACCCAGATATCTGATATTGATCTTGATTAAGACTCAGAGAGAAAACTTGCTAATTTAAATGCTTTATCTATAGCAAAGAGTTCTGCATCAAAGACTTCAAGATATTTATCTAGATTCTATAAGAATCTAATATTATCTTGTAAATTGTATACACCAGCACCAGCATATTGATTTTCTTCAGCTTTTGATCTATCTGAATAGAGAATTAAAGATCTATTGTCTAGAGTTTTAATTCTATTTAGATGACTATTTTTAGCTGTTTTCTTGTCTGATTCTTCAATTTGAATATCTATTAAATCAGCTAAATTTTCAAACCAAGGTGCATTCTATTTTGCTTTGATTTTCTCTGTTTTTAAAGAAGATAATATGTTTGAAATCATTGAACAAACTCTGAATAGTTGACTTGGATACTTTTTTTGTTTATTGATTTTTCTTCTTTTTCTTTTAGTTGATATTTGTTCAACATATTCATTATTTAGTTCTGATTGATTCCAGTTTAAAAACCTTCTCCAATCAAGATCAACATCATTATTATATGGTGGAAAGCTAGAAGATACTCTTTTTCTGATTGTATATTCTTTTGGCATTTTTAATAGTCTATAAGCATAGTTTCTACATAGTCTATTAAATCTTACTTTGGCAGGGGGGATAGCAGCTTCAATCTCTATAGCATATACTGGAGAGGTTTTAAAAGCTCCTAGAATCTTTTTTAAAGCAGCCCCTGGCCCTACAGCCACTCTAACCCTGGAGTCTCTAAGGCCTATCCAGAGGTCAACTAGGCCTGTAGGGAATGCAAATGCAGAAGGATACATCTTAAGCTATTATATATGTGCCTATAATAACTGACCACTACAAACTGTCCTCTCAAGCCAGCATTAACTATTCTGATTCTAGTTAAGCCACTACTGCTCAGTTTACTGATCTAATAACTAGACCTTGCCTTCCAGTTGCTAATCTTAGCATCCCAGCCTACCAATTAGCTGTCATGGTCTCGCCATTTTACTAATGATTAACCAATTATCTCTAGAGATAGTCAACCATCTCTAGAGATAACTAGGGGTGCCCTTGTCAGGTGGTTTTCAAATCTATTCCCCTAAATTGGCACCCCACGTAGTCACCTAATTATTAGTTATTATTGAATTACTAGGTGGAGTAGCTTTTAGTAGTACAGTAGAGCCTACCCACTTGCATTATTTTAGCTTCACTAGATGCTAGATGAACCCACTATCTCTACCCAATTATCAGTTATTATTAGTTAGTGGGGTGGCAGGTTGTGGCAGGTTACTACCCAGGCACCCCATGTAACCTGGTTAGATGAAGAGTTAGTCAGCAAAACTGCAAAAATAACCAGGTCTTCTGGGGGGTTAGCATTGTACAGTTATCTTGATGGTTGTATACTAGCTGGTACAGAAAGTGGTTATTAGGAGAACTGGTTGTAGATTATGTAGATTTTCCCAAAATTAGAGGTATGAAAGAGCTAAGTAGGTATGATGTCTGCAACTAATAGAAGAGAGTTGTGTGTAGAATATAGAAGTTCTCTAACTAGAAGACTGAATGCTGAGATTTCCATGATCTATATGGATTGTGAGATTCTTATATGTTCAGAGTT